TTCCTTCTCCTCCTCCACTTGAGATTTGGAGCTAGTGGCTTGCAAAGCTAATCCTTTGCTTTTCTTCTTGGCTTGCTCCTTCAAAGTTAGTCTTGCTAATTCTAGCTCATGCTCTTGAAGCTTTCCAAAGAGTGTAGCAATGGACATATTCTTCAAATCTTTTGATTCACAAATAGCCGTCACCTTAGGTTGCCAATCCCTATTCAAGCTCCTCAAGACTTTAGTGACCATTTGAAAATTATTGTATGAAGCTTCTAAAGCATCCAAATGAGTAACAATATGGGTTAGCCTTTTTTGCATGCTATGAATAGTTTCACCATCATTCATTTCAAATAATTCAAATTCTCTAGTCAATCCTAGAATTCTAGAGACTTTAACTTCACTAGTTCCTTCATGTGTTACTTCAAGCACATCCCACATTTCTTTTGCGGTTTTGCAAGAAGCTACACGAAAATATTCATCTCTACCTAAAGCATTGGTAATTAAGTTTCTAGCCTTAGCATTCCAATTTGCTTCTTTACTTTCTTCTTCCGAAAATTCCTTTAAAGTGTTTGGAACATCGTTGTTGCTTTCATCCTTTTTAGTAGGACCCGTATATCCCTCATCAACAATGTTCCAAATTTTTAAATCAATTGACTCAAGAAAAATTTGCATTCTACTTTTCCAATAAGCATAATCGGTGCCATTAAAGAAAGGAGGTCTTGAAGTTGAAGTTCCATCAAGAGGCATATCATTGTTTAAAGAGGCCATCTTTACTCTTGAAGCGGTTAAGCTCTTTATACAAGAGTCCAAGCTCTGATACCACTTGTTGAACAAGTGGCCTCAAACTCAAGAGGGGGCGGGGGTGAATTGAGTTTTAAAAATATTTTCGTAAAGTGCCTCACTTTCTTTCTTGAAATCGATTTTCTTAGAATAATATAATTTGACACAAGCAAAGTTTAGAGAATAGAAATTAACACAAGCAAATGGTATGTAAAGAGAAGAGATAAAAGGTTCAAGTGATCAAATAATGCTAATATAAAGAGATGAAGAGTTAGAGAGATTGCAAACACTATATATCCTGGTTCGGTCACCACCACCGTGACCTACGTCCAGATTGAAATCGCCCGTTCAACTTTCCACTAAATTATCAAGCTTCAAGGGTGCTTGACAAACCACTACAACTTTCAAGAATATCGATTCTTGAAACCTTTACACTTCCACTCACTTACTTAGGTTATGAGCAACCTCTTTCACTAGGGTCTCACTACCCTTAACACAAATGAACAGATTGAGAGTATTTAGAAAGGGATATGTACTCTTGAAGTACAGATTATACAAGTTGAAGCTTATAGGTATTGATCAATGACACAAGATTAGAGCTCAAAGGTGATTTATGATCAAGATGATAGAAAGTAAGCAAATAATATGAAATAGAGCAAGAATAATGATTAGAAAAAGTGTCCTATCAATGTGAATAGTGATCACTATTTATAGAGGCCCCCCATGACCCTTTGAACACACATTTTCGCAAAACTAGCCGTTTATAGCCGTTATACTGCTTACTGTCCAGTAAGTATTCGAATACTATTCGTGAGGTATTCGAATACTTCAACTAGTATTCGAATACTTTTCTCACAGTATTCGAATACTTTGTTCTCAGCATGAGTATTCGAATACAGACAATGGAGTATTCGAATACTTTCTTTAATTATGCAGTTTTATAAGTTGTAAAGTATTCCTTTTGGTCTCTAATCACTTTCAATGTATTTCCTTGACTTGTACAAGATGTTTTGAAGTTATTAAACATGTCAAGGATATTTTTCATAACAATTAAGGCTTTCAAGTGATAGATGATGATAACTATTGTAAACACAGAAACGTTATTGACAGTAACCAGATGTGAAATACAGGACTGCAATGAAAAATAGAACGATAATCCTCCTTCGAGGGGAGGTGCCTCCTTAACCAAATTGGTTACTAAACGTCTGATACCTTGCAATAAGGAAATAGGATTCTTTATACACACACTCCATAACAGAAAAATAGCAAACATAACTATTGAGGCAAGCCTGTAAAGCATTGCCATCCACTCACTCATAATAAACTACTCTTTCTCCCCTAACGGCATAACAATTCTCATTTCCCTTTCTGATGCTCTTAAGAGACCAAATAGTCCCTCATCCATTTGGGCTTAGTTTTATATCGTTTGGACCATTTAACCCTTGGGCTGATGAACTCTTCTGCTGAGTCTTCTTGTGGTTCCATGTCCATTAGTTCAGTGTGGGCCTCTTCACCAATTAGTTGAGCCTGTTCCTCTTGTTCCCTATCATCCCCTTTTCCTTCAAGAAACACCTTTCCCTCAAGGTGTAGGTGGGGATAATTCTGCAATACCTCAGCCAAATCTTCCCAAGATGAGTCCTCGGGGTAGAGACCGGTCCATTGTATAAGAGCTTGTACCTTGGTAGAATCAGGATGCTCCTTAATGTCCAATACAGCGAGTGGTTGAATGACTGGTTGGTGAAGACGATCGGTAGGTGGCAGTGGTAAATGCCTATCAGTAGAATCAGCAAAAAATGGTTTGAGAAGAGAGGAGTGAAAAACGGGGTGGATTTGAGATCCCTTGGGTAGTTCCAACTCAAACGCAACGTCACCAATGCACTTAATGATTGGAAACGGCCCGTAGTACTTTTTTGCCAACTTGTGACAGGTGCGATTAGCCAAGGATTGCTGCTTATAGGGGCGAAGCTTAACCAACACCAAATCACCCAGTTTAAACGAGTGATCTAAACGTTTCTTATCAGCAAACTTTTTCATGGATTCTTGGGCCTTTAACAACTGCTGTTTGACCTTAGATAGTATAGCATCTCTGTTGAGCAAAGTAGCATCCACAGCTTGCAACTTACTAGTGCCAGTGACATATGTTGGAATGTTAGGAGGTTCGCGGCCAAAAACAATTTGAAATGGGGTTATGCCCGTAGCCGAATGGGAAGAAGTGTTGTAGCACCACTCAGCCCAATGAAGATATTGGCCCCACAACTTTGGTTGATGGTGAACAAAAGACCGTAGATACTGTTGCAGCACCCTATTCATGACTTCGGTTTGGCCATCGCTTTGTGGGTGGTGAGCAGAAGACATTCTGAGTTTAGTACCACTTAAGCGAAACAGATCTTGCCAGAAATGACTCATGAAGATAGGATCTCTATCGGATATGATGCTCTTAGGCATTCCATGCAAGCGGGCAATAAGATGCGCAAACAGTTCAGCTACTTTGGTGGCAGTAAAGTTGGTAGGCAGCATGCCAAAATGGGCCGCTTTAGAAAATCTATCCACAACAACCAGAATGACCGTGGAGGTTTGGAATAAAGGCAGCCCTGTTATGAAATCCAGGGAAATGTCTTCCCAAACTTATGTGGGAATGGGAATTGGCTGTAAGAGCCCCACAGGCTTAGTAGTTGGAGACTTAACCTGTTGACAAACCAGACAGTGTTTAACAAACTCGATCATGTCTTTTCGCATACCATCCCAGTAGAAGTTTTCTTGAAGCCTTGAGTAAGACTTGTGGACTCCCATATGACCTCCCAGCGGAGTTGCATGGAACTCTGCGAGTAACAAGTTTTTGAAAGACGAAGTGGCGCTCACCACAATTTTACCATGATACAGAAGAAGGCCTTGTTGTAAAGAATACCCCGGATGTGACAGTGAGTCGGTCTCCAACTCTTTAATCATATGTGCTAAGCATGGATCATTGCCGTAGTCCTCTATGAGTTTAGGGAGAAACTCAAATTGAGGTACAGTAAGTGTGAGGACTTGGGCCTGGGAAGTAGGTATCCTGGATAGTGCATCTGCGGCACGGTTGTCACGGCCAGGTTTGTAGACAATGTCATAGTCGTATCCCAAAAGTTTGGAAAGGTAGTACTGTTGGTCAGGGGTTTGAATGACTTGGGTCATTATTTCCTTGAGGCTTCGCTGGTCTGTGTGTATTGTAAATTTGCGCCCTAACAAATAATGTCGCCATTTTTTAACAGCTTCGACTATAGCATGGAGTTCGCGGACATAAGTGGAAGACGATACTAGTTTAGCACAGAATTTCTTGCTAAAGTAGCAGATAGGGTGCCCACCCTGTAGCAACACTGCACCTAACCCTTCTCCGGAAGCATCAGTCTCTAGTGTAAAAGGCATGGTGAAATCGGGTAGGGCCAGGACTGGAGATTGTGTCATTGCTTCCTTGAGAAGTTCAAAGGCCTGTTGAGTTCGAGGGTTCCACTGGAAAGCATCTTTTTTAAGCATGTCTGTCAGTGGAGAAGCTATTGAAGCATAATTCTTCACAAAACGACGGTAGAAACCCGTCAGCCCCAAAAAACCACGGAGCTGCTTGATGGTAGTCGGTATTGGCTAGGCAAGCATGGATTTTATTTTCTCAGGGTCAGGTCCGACGCCCTTATCCGAGATGATATGGCCCAAATATTCCAAGGAAGACTGAGCGAAGGTGCATTTGGAACGCTTCAAAAAAAATTTGTTAGTCCAAAGGCAGTGAAATGTCTCCTCTAAGTGCCTGACATGGTCAGCAACAGATTTGCTGTACACTAATATATCATCAAAAAACACAATAACATAATGCCGAAGATAAGGTTTGAATAACACGTTCATAGTGGATTGGAAAGTAGCAGGAGCGTTACACAATCCAAAAGGCATGACTAAATATTCGAAAAGGCCTTCGTGGGTTCGAAAAGCCATTTTTGGGATATCACATGGTGCCATGCGTATCTGATGGTAGCCTGAACGAAGATCCAGCTTGGAGAAATAACAAGCTCCATGAAGTTCGTCGAGTAGCTCATCAATGGTTGGAATGGGAAAGCGGTCCTTCTGAGTTAATGCATTAAGGGCCCTATAATCTGTGCAGAAGCGCCACGAGCCATCTTTCTTTTTGACCAGGAGTACTGGGAAGAAAATGGGCTGGAACTCGGTCGAATAATGCCCGAATCCAACATCTCAGCCGTCAATTTCTCGATTTCCCGTTTCTAAAAATACGGGTAGCGGTACGGTCGGACATTGACGGGGTCTGAACTATGGGGTAAGGGAATGTGATGGTCAGTGGGGCGAGATGGTGGTAGCTCAGAGGGGATCTCAAAAAGGGAATGGAATCTGGAGAGGATATTTTCGATTTCATGAGGGTATGTGGCGGGTGGAGTGGATGTGGTGTGAGGTGGAATAGCTTGAAGATGGTATAATTCTGCGACGGCACGTGTTGATATCAGTCTCTTCAACTGGGCTGAGTTAAGTTCTTGGGCCTGCTCAGAAGCAACTCCTTGAACCAAGACCAACTTGCCCTCCTTGATAAACTTCATGGTTAAGGCTTCATAATCGGTGAGCACTGGGCCTAGCGTTTTAAGCCATTGGACCCCTAGCACAAGATCTTCTCCACAAATGGGCAGCAAATAAAAATCAACAAAGAACTGGTGATCAGCAATAAAAAGTGGAACCTGTTGACACATAGAAGAACAGTTTAATTCTTCCCCATTGCCCACTAACACCTGAAATCCTTGGGCTTGGTGGATGTCTAAGCCCAAATATTTAGCAATGCGTCCTTGAATAAAGTTGTGGGTACTCCCACTATCAATTAATAAGGACAATTGGGCCTTACCCACGCGGCCCTGAACACGTAAAGTTTGGGGAACAGAATGGCCCAAGAGGGCATGGAAACTTATCTGGGCTGCATCTATTGTGGGTCCGGGTGGTGGGTCAGTACCGTCATCCACAGTGGGGTTGGAGCAATCCAGCATCATTTGGTGAAGGTCGTCATCATCAGCAGCTTGATCTGGCGACGCAATCAGTAGCAGAAATTGACGCTTGCACTTGTGCGTAGGATGGTACTTGTCATCGCAATTGTAACAAAGCCCTTTGTCACGGCGGATCTGGAGTTCCTCAGGAGAAAGGCGTTTGATGTTGGGTTTATGGAAGGTACGGGCAGGGGTGGATTGTCCCGCGGTAACCGTTGAAGTCGTGATCGGGGACCGATTACCCCCAAATGCGGAAGGTTGTGAGCCACTGAAGAATTTGGAACGCGATTGCGAACGTTGATCATTTAGTTTGTCCTCCTGGAGGCGGGCCAACCCAATAGCTTGAGGTAGAGTCATGGGCTGGAGAGCTTGAACTTCCCGACGGAGCTCCGGTTTGAGGCCCGAAATAAAACAACTCAAGAGGTAAGGGTGAGGGAGGCCAATGCAGCGGTTGGCTAAAACCTCAAATTGGGACTGATAGTCACGGATGGAAGTTGTCTGCAACAATTTCATCAAGTCGCCTTTCGGGTCATCGTATTGCGAAGGTGCAAAACAGAGTTCTAAGGATTGTAGCAGTTGCGGCCAGCTAGTGATTTGACCACTAGCATGCATCCATTGATACCAGTTAAGTGCCTCGCCTTCCATGTAGAACGAAGCAATTCGTGGCCGTTGTTCTTCCGGTGTACCGTGAAATTCAAAAAATTGGGTGATCTTGAAGATCCAGCCCAATGCATTGGAGCCATCGAAGCGAGGAACCTCGAGCTTCAGGGTTGCGGCTTTAATATCCGCTGGTGCTGTGAGTGGTTGAGGTCCCGAAAAGGAACTAGCTGTAGGGATGGGGTTACGAGTTTCCAGGGTAGAAACCTTGTGGACGATGGCTTGCATGTCTTGCTGTAAGGTGAGTTGGGACTGCAATAGCTGAGCTAAGGTGTTTTCGATGGAATCGGAAGTGTGGGTAGGGCCAACCATGGTGAAAGTGACTCAATGAAAGCGCCAATGATAGCTATTGTAAACACAGAAACGTTATTAACAGTAACCAGATGTGAAATACAGGACTGCAATGAAAAATAGAACGATAATCCTCCTTCGAGGGGAGGTGCCTCCTTAACCAAATTGGTTACTAAACGTCTGATACCTTGCAATAAGGAAATAGGATTCTTTATACACACACACTCCATAACAGAAAAATAGCAAACATAACTATTGAGGCAAGCCTGTAAAGCATTGCCATCCACTCACTCATAACAAACTACTCTCTCTCCCCTAACGGCATAACAATTCTCATTTCCCTTTCTGATGCTCTTAAGAGACCAAATAGTCCCTCATCCATTTGGGCTTAGTTTTATATCGTTTGGACCATTTAACCCTTGGGCTGATGAACTCTTCTGCTGAGTCTTCTTGTGGTTCCATGTCCATTAGTTCAGTGTGGGCCTCTTCACCAATTAGTTGAGCCTGTTCCTCTTGTTCCCTATCAGATGACATGGATATTGCATGCATAGAGTTAATTACCCTTTGAGCTCTTTTATGCATCATTAATCAATTACCTTTACATTTAGATCTAAGCTCTCAAGAGCATGAATCAATGATGATCTTGTGTGTTGACTGATTTGCTCTTGTTGACTTGTATGAATTGCTTCCTTGGGCTTTTGATTGTTGCGAGTTGTATTATCCTTAACATCGATTCTATGCTTGTTTGTTATCATCAAAACTCTTGTATGATTGAATTCTTCATATTAAGCGCATTGGTTTCACAATTATGTCTTATAAAACTATAATTCTATGATAAGTTATGCTATGAGAATCGTTTTGTGTTTTTGGATCATTGTGTGAATTGAAAGAAGTGAAATTATATCCTAATGAGCTATGATCCAAAATCTGCAGAGTGTATGAATCAGTTAGAGTAGATTGGTTATCCATTATTTATTAGTTATCACTGTTTATAATTTTGATACTTGGTTATCAAAAATAATTTTCCTTTTTAGATAGATAAGTGGCTCAACACACATGTTCATTATGTAATATATTTTTTACATGCATATATATAATTTTGTATCTGGACCTTAAGTTGTAGAAAGTAGAACCTTTACGTTTCGTGTCGTTTCTACGTTTTACGTTTCTACCACCCCTTTCCGTTTCTACGTAGAAACTCGAGTTTGACAACATTGAACAGGACAATCTTTTACCAAATATTGTTAGTTGGGTGCTTTTGCCTGCAATGAAGGCACATCAGTTGTTGGTGCGTTAATAGTGACCGACTTTTAGTGGTGTAAACAGGGCAGACAACTTATTAGGGGTCTACAGCCCGACTTAAAATAGAATATGTTCAAACTTAAAAAAAAAAAAAAAAACCTTTTTAGAAAGCAGATCATAGCCTTTCTTTAAATAAAATAAACCTACAGACTAGCCTATATCATATTATTTATTTTAAATAAAATATAAAAATAATTATTTTAATGATTTTAAATAATAGAGTAATATTATTTTAATTATTGATTTGCTAAAGTAGAGCAGTTAAAGTAATATTTACGCGTCAATTCAACCAAAAATTTAAACTGTTAGATGCGTGAACTACGCGAGGTTAAAGTAATTATTTACGCGTCAAATCAATAATCAGTTAAAGTAATTATTAATACCATGTAAAGAATCAATTTAATCAAAAATTTAAACGGTTTCGTGAGATTACGTCAACGATTTTATATATCTTTTAAGAGTAACTTCTTTACTTTGGATGACAAACACTATTCCTGTTTCTTTTCCCTGTGTATTTAACACGCCACATTTAAAATACATGAAATTTCACACACATATTTTTATACACATATCACTCACTTTTCAATAACAATCGACAAGCAAACAGTAAATTTGACTAAAATTAATAACATAATACCCAATATCATCATCCCTCGTTAGCGGGCAGTAATTCAATTCCTTATAAGAGCGAAAGCAGAGAGCGAGACCAAACACACGAAGAAAATTGCTGCAAGAAACGAAATGACCACAGCCTCACTAGCAGCTTGGCAGAAGTTGGTGTACCCTTGACAAATAGCAATCCAATTTGCTTCTTGACTCCCATTATGAGCTAAGTACACAATCGCAGCAGCAGATGAAGCACTAGCTGTGATTAAACCCATCATTACCTGAAGTTTCCAGTTATGATCAATTTCGGTTTCTTTCAATTATATTAAAAGAAATTGAGAAAAGTGTGTGTCCAGGAGATACACTTAGATCCTTTTAAGAAAGAGATAAATACAAAAAAATGCAAGTCTTATTGAAAAAAAATATATAGTCAAAAAAAATAAAAATATTGACTCACCTCTTTGTATCTAAATCACTCTTAAAAGGACTTAAGTGTGTATCTTTTCAAAGGACACACATTTTTCCTATGAAAATTATATATATAATGAATAATTATAAATGTCTCTTATTTTTTTTGTCACATAAAATATAATTATCTACTATAATCCAAAATGTTGTCGTGCATTTCCCCCCAAATTTGAAACAGGGTCATTTTGAGTTGCAAAAAATAATCTTATATCCTGTTATATCAGAAATACTTAAATATATATATATATATATATATATATATATATATAGAGAGAGAGAGAGAGAGAGAGAGAGGGGAAGGTTATACTCATAACCTTTTTTCTTTATAACCTCTTACAACCATATCTTAACACCGTTGATTTTCTCCAATCAACGGTTATTATTTATTGTGAATTAATAATTAATTAATGAGTTTAATTGACGAAAATCATAACCGTTGATTGGCGAAAATCAACGGTGTTAAGATATAGTTGTAAGAGGTTATAAAGAAAAAAAGTTGTAAGTATAACCTTCCTCATATATATATATATATATATATATATATATATATATATATATATATATATATATATTAAAAGAGATAGGGGGTATCTTTGCTATGGATTTTTATCTGTTTAACAGTTATAGTTTATTGAATTATGCCAATTAATTATTTATTAATTCTAAATAAATTATAGTTGTTAGATGAACTAAAATAAATAACTGAGATAAAAAGTAAGACTTCTTAGTCTTTAACCGAAATTAAAAGATTTCTCCTCCATATATATATATGAAATAATTTTATCTTCTGCACATATATGAAAATGGACTAGGTCAGAAGAAGATAGAAATTTTTTTTGAGTCCACCAACTTTCATCTACGTGCAAGAGATAAAATTATTTTTTAATTGCAGATAAACATTAAACTCATATTTATTAAGATACTAAAGTGAATGTTATTTTGTAAGTCATATACTAATTTTGGATACGAGCTTACTATGTCCAATGTTATGAGTAGAAGCCTTGGTCCAACTGCATGGGGTCGAACAATGCACACAAATGAGAAGGGAAGGGAAAGAATAAGGTATCCACTGATTATTCCATTTGCCACCACCAGAAACCTGCGTATGAATCAAGAAAAATAGTGGATGAACTAGAGCTAATAGAATTTCCTCTAATTACAGACATAAAAATCTCTGTCCATATATACATCTTAACAATTAATACATGTATCTTAATACAGTAAATAATTCTTAATTAAATCCATAACTAACTACATAAACTTACTGGAATATGGGAAAGTCATTCCATTCAGCATGAAACTGGAGGAACTGTGTGAAAAATGGAAGTTGTTCTTCATTGGTTCCCATGATAACGGCGCTACCTATAGCAGCCCCTATGGCACCGAGTCTCAGGACGAAATCTGCAATTGCAATTCCTTTTTTCCATCCTGCAGGTCTTGGGTGTGAACCAGTTTTTGTTGAAACTGAATCTGCAGAATGAGGAACATCCCAGGTAACACCTTTCCCTTTGGAAGTGTTCTTTTTTTCATGTATTGTAACTGTAGTTGCCTCACCCTTTTTCCCTGACTCCATCAGATACCTGTATATGTGTCTCTAAGTATATTAGTTATCTAGAATGCTATAGTTTGAACTCTGAAGGACCAAGGTATGTATGTGTATATGTAGTGTACATAAACATGGGGGGAAAATGAATTATTAAAGGGTTGTGTGTGTCATTCCATGAAATGGGTTAGTTGCTTGTGGGACTGTGAGTGCTCCATGTTGTGGGAAATTGTGGCAGTATCTGCATATGATCATATTGTGAATAAGTTGTTTTTGTAAGAACCTACTCCACCTAGCCTTAAAAAACGCATTATTAGTTTCATCCTCATTTTCCAGCATGCCCGTACTAATTGCAAGTGTCATAGTTACCAACTAAACTCTTATGATCGTGTTTCTTAATTTTTCTGGCCTAAGAAATACTTTTTTGATTTTTTTGGAACAAGAAGAATCGCTTTCTATTCATTTCCGTACGATTATGCAGATCCATCTTGTGGGCATGGAGAAAGATAAGGACATGATGCTAAATTATGTTATGGGGACACTTCAAAAACTTTTACTGTGGTGTCTGACACTTCTCGACACCCCGATACTCTAACACGCTCTATGACATCTATAATATTTTAATTTTCATTACGTATTTTGAAAAAATTGATCGATGTTTTACCAAAATGATATAATAAAAATAAAAATGGATACCGAATAAATCTTAGTGAAGTATATAAGATATTTTCAATTTGAAAATATAATAATAAATATTGACCTCTTATGTTTCTTGCAAAATTGATGGCTATTATAAGTTTAGTTTAAACTTTTTTTTTAAATATTGAATATTAACTGTAATATACACTACATAAATTAAAAATATTATTTAATATCAAAATATGTACTAACATGATAAAATCTAATATTTTTTAAATTTAATATGTCGTCGTGCCATGTTGTTTTCCGTGTTCCATATCAGTGTCGGAGCAATATAGATGCTAATGATGAGAATCCACTTATATATCTAAAATGTGCATTTTAAAATAATTAAATGAAATACATAAAAAGTATCACTTATATTCTAAAAACGTGCTATGTATACTAAAAAAGAAATAGTTCAATAAATTACTCATTAATTTTTAAATTGTATAAGTTTAGGGAAAAAAGTTTCCAACGTTACTTTAGATAACTTTATCTAATGTTCATCGAAACGACGTCGTTTTGGAGTTGAAAAATTAAAAAATTAGAGTGATAAAGACTATTATAACCTTGAAATAAATTAAAATTACAAAAATACCATGATTTCCGTTCCAAAACGACGTCGTTTTGATGAACATTAGATAAAGTTATCTAAAGTAACATCAGAAAAAACAAACCCATAAATTTAATAGGCAGAATTTGGTTAGTAGTAGAAATAAGGAAAAACTAAATTAGTGAAATAAATGTATTAAATATGGAAAATAATTTCTCAATTTACATGAAGAAATTTTGTCATGTTACACCTATAATTAAAAGGTGGGTCCCGCCTTATTTTTGTCTTTTTATTTTTTTGTGGATCCCACTTATATATTGTGTGTATAAATGAGAAAATTAATCATCATTAAATATTACACAAAATGAATGAATATTCACTTTTATACTTTTCATGCGGTGCAAGCAAGCTCCTGCTTGACGTTCAATGTTTTGGAAAGTTGTGGGACTTCCATTCCATTCAGGCTATGTGAAGAAGTTGTTGGCAATAACTCACTTGCTCCACCTCTAACAAAAAAATCTTAGAAATATGCGCTCAACATGGAAAGCAAAATCATTCTTATTCAGCACAAGTGTACTAAATTAAAATTTAATTGGTAAATATTAAGTTTTGCCTAACCGAAGAATACATATATAGGAAAGAAGTTGTCTCCTTTCAAGGTCAAAGGCATACAGTGATACTTATAAAAAAAATATAGATACTTATAAATTACTTGTCAAATAAAAGATAAGATCGTCAGTAACACTTAAATTTAGCCGTTCAACATTTGAACCAATTGATACTATTGTTTTTGAAAAAGGTTTAAAGTCTTAATTTTGGAACTCACTTCGAATTGGACTAGTTATAAGGTGAACTGATTGAAATATTTCAAAATATATATATATATATATATATATATATATATATATATTTGAACCAATCTAATTAACAGTTGCGCATAGATTAAATACATAAAAGGAAGAGAAACGATTTTCAATGGCATAACTCTGGATAGAAATTACTGCAATAAAATATTTTTACTAATATCAACAATCAAGCGGAATCTCAAGTCTGGACCCTCAAAACTCGAAGAACAAATGGTCCTAACCCCAATTTTAGGCTAAAGCATATTTTAGTGATGAACACATAATCAAGGAAGCAAAAGAAGAAAGCAACTCTTATACCATCAATTAAGTAGTTACATCCAAATCAAATTTCTCAAATTTGATTAATAATCATCCTCGACATTTTCCTTATCAGAGTTCAGCTCGGCTGTAACTGTTTTGAAAATGCTCTTAAGCATGTTCAGACAGTTCTCAAACACATTTGTTTCTTCTTGCTGTTTATCGTCAAGCAAATTTCTGGCTACTCTAATTGCAGCCTTAACTTCCTGCTCGACTTGAGGTAAAATCTTAGCACTAATAATTGTATCCTTCAATTCATTCTCCATCATGTACGCATATCGATCCAAAGCATTCATTGCTTCAACCTTCTTTTTGTGGTTCATATCTTCAGCCTTGTAAATCTCAGCTTCCAGCAACATTCTCTCAATTTCTACCGCTGACAGTTTTCCAATTTCATTGGCTATAGTAACGTCCTTCTTGTTGCCACCAGTTTCTTCCTTAGCAGATACATTTAGTATACCATCAGCATCTATATCAAAGCATACATTGATAGGAAGGCCTCGGGGTGCAGAGGGAACTGAAAGATTGAATGAGCCCAACAAGTTGTTATCACTAGCTCTTGTTCTCTCACCCTCATAGACCTTAATTGAGACCAATGATAAGTAATCTTCAGGTGAACTATATGGACTTTCCTTCTTGACAGGAATAGTAGTGTTCTTAGGAATCACTACACTGATGAGATCTCCTTTTGTGGATATACCAAGTGACAGTGGTGTAACATCCGACAGCACTAAGTTTGGAGCAAACCTATTGCCTTGACTCAACAAAGCAGCCTGAACAGCTGCTCCATAAGCAACAGCCTCATCAGGGTTGATAGTCTTGCAGAGATCCTTCCCCTTGAAGAAGTCCTGCAATAGCTCCTTCACTTTGGGAATCCTAGAAGAGCCACCAACAAGTACAACATCATGTACATCACTCTTGTCCGTACTAGCATCAGTCAGACACCTTTCAACAGTATCCATGCACTTTCTAAAGAGGTCAATGTTGAGTAGCTCAAACTGGGCACGAGTGACTGAATAACAGAAGTCAATACCCTGACATATTGCATCCACCTCAATTGTGGTCTCTATTTCGAATGAAAGTATCCTTTTTGCCCTCTCACACGCACTTCTCAACCTCCTCAGTGCTCTTGGGTTCCCACTAATGTCCACTCTTTTCTTCTTCCTAAACTCCTGTACGAAGTGGTTCAACATTCTGCTATCGAAGTCCTCTCCCCCGAGGTGAGTGTCTCCAGCAGTAGCCTTAACTTCAAAGTTATCACCCTTAATTGTGAGAAGAGATACATCAAAAGTGCCACCACCGAGATCAAAGATAAAAACATTCCTCTTTCCAACAAAATTAGCTCTATTTTGAAGACCATAAGCAACAGCTGCAGCAGTGGGTTCATTGATTATCCGCACAAAGTTGAGGCCAGCAATGACACCAGCATCTTTCGTAGCTTGACGTTGAGAGTCATTGAAATAAGCAGGCACAGTAATAACTGCATTCTTTACCGGTGATGCCAAGAATGACTCTGCAATCTCCCGCATCTTTGTAAGGATCATAGATGAAATTTCCTCAGCAGCAAAATGTTTTTCCTCACCCTTGTACATAACCACAATCATGGGTCTGTCATCCGATCCAGCAATGACCTTAAATGGCCACAGCTTTATATCATCTTGTACAATAGAATCACTATATTTCCTTCCAATCAACCTCTTTGCGTCTGAAAAAAAAAAAAAAAATTGATGGTGAAGGGTCATTTGTCCTTCTACCGGCAGAAACGGATCTAGAAATTTTTTTTCAAGGGATGAAATTAAAGTGTTGTATTTCTTATAAATTATAATTGTCTATATAACTAAAGCAAAATGTACTACACTCATAACTAAAGATCTTTTAAAATTTGAAGGGGGCAGTTACTATTTATATGAACAAAAATAACAAATGACACTTATAATTAAAGGTTTATATAAAGTTGAAGGGGCGGCTCCCGCTCCACCATTGATACAAGGAAAGCAGAGAAAAATAACTAGAAAAGAAAATCAATTACCAAAGACAGTGTTGGATGGATTAGAAGCAGCCTGGTTTCTTGCGGCATCGCCAATCAACCTTTGGTGGTTAGTGAAAGCAACGTAAGAAGGCGTGACTCTATTGCCTTGTTCATTATGGATTATCTCAGCTCGATTGTTTTGCGCTTGCCATACTGCAACACATGAGTAGGTCGTGCCAAGGTCAATTCCTATAGAAGTTCCATCACATTTTTTGGCCATTTTCTTTTACGTAAATGAACACTGTTCTACCCACAAATTGAACTCAGGCTTGGAAGACGTATAGCAATGTTGAATGTGTCGGTTTGATTTTTATACATGTGAAATATGAAAATTTGCTGAATATGTCCACGCTTTTCAATGCAATGCCCTAAAATGAATTTAGGGGCCGTTTGGTACACGGATTTTTCCCACATTCTCGGAAACCGAAATTTTTAAAATTTTAAATTTTCAGATATTATCATAAACTGTAAAAATTATATTTTTGAAAATCGAGATTCCCGGACAAATAAAAATTTCTCCTGTACCAAACGCCCCCTTATGGTATTCCTATGAGAAGTCACAAGAAACCACTTATTTAGCTCCCCTATGTACTGTATCATGATTGTCTCGATTTAATCATTGCCAATATCTTCTTCCAAAAATTTGAAATCCTGATTAGTTGATGACTAATATTTAATTTATATTAGTGGCTAATTATATTTGGGATAGGATATTGTGACACGTAAATAATGTTACGCACAATGTTACGACCACATCTTAACCGTTGATTTCCGTTAATCAACGGTTATCATTTATTGCGAATTAATAATTAATTAATGAGTTTGATTTGAAAAATGATAACCGTTGATTGACGGAAATCAACGGTTAAGATGTAGTCGTAACATTGTGCGTAACATTATCTATGTGTCACAATATCCTATCCCTATATATTTAACCGAATTTCTTTTCTTTTACCATATTTTTTTACAGAAAATCAATAATGTCAATACCTAAAAGAAAAATCAATGTACGTACCTATCTCCATCGGATAAAATATCTTTCTAATTTGAGCACATTGTACATCGTTCAATATAATGTTTTTATTGTTTTTCCTTGTTTTGAAGGTTTTGTTAATAGCATTTTAACATTTTCGAGACTTTTTGAATTGAGCATATGTTCTCTCGAACGTTTAATATGCTGCTCTTATTATTTTTCCTGATTTTCAAGGTTTTGCTAATATCAGTTTCACATAAAATTAATCTGGGAGGATCAAGAATATATCATCAAAGGTCAAAGATGAATATAGGAGTAGGAGATACCAAAAGGGAGGGGGGGGGGGGGGGTGTGGTGGTAAATCATCGTGCATAGACTCGACAAAGTCGGTTAAACTCGATGGTCAACCCACTTATACGAAGCGAGTTGAGTTGTATATTTCAACCAGCCAACTCGACACAACCCATCTTGAATTTAGTCGGGTTAGGGTTTAGGGGGGTGGTAAATCATCGTGCATAGACTCGACAAAGTTGGTTAATTCGATGGTCAACCCACTAATACAAAGCGAGTTGAGTTGTATATTTCAACCAGCCAACTCGACACAACCCATCTTGAATTTAGGCGGGTTAGGGGTGGGCATGTCCATTGTTGTCAAAAACTAATCTAAAATGTAGAAACGTAATGTGAAAACGTGTTAAAATGCTAGTAAAAATAGTCCTTAATAAAAACGGGTAGAAACGCCATGTAAACACATACAAACGGTAGAAACGTAAGTTTTTGTGTTTTTACTTGAACTCAAATATTTTATTTTATTATTAAAAAAACCCTAATTTTCTCGTTTTGTGTTTTCAGACATATGTTTTATATAGTTATATGACTTATATCTTTTAAGGGTTTAATATTTGTCCTTTTAAAAGACATAAGTTGTGTCAATTTAGTTTTTAACACTATTTATTACGGGTAATCTATATATATATATATATAAAGGAGAATTCACTGCTGGAAAGTTTCTATATATATATAAAGTGTCACTCCCTGGTTAATTCTACAATTTGGTTATATACAAACTTTCTTTATTGGGTAAATTGGAAAAAAAACTCTTTGAAAAATTGAATTTTAATTTTTAAATCGAATAATAGTTGCAGACAAGGCATTGAATGTCTCACTGCCCATCACATTGGTATCTAAAAAAAAAATCAGCTGTTTTAATTGCTTTTTATGTTGGAATTGATCATCTCATTTGAAATTCGAAATTTTAAATGGTTTATCAATTAAATTTCGAAATTATGTATTTATTTTGCACAATTTGAAATTCGAAATTTTAAATTCAATAAAAAGAAAACTCTCTTAACGGACATGCATTCACGATCTCTATTCATGGAGATCAATAGAAACAAAACAAATTTCACAATTGTTGAAGACCTGATCGTCATTCATTTCACAATTTCGTTATGGTTATTTTTAAAAAAATATATATACAATAATGATATAACAAAGAAATTATCTTTGTTATATAGACATTATCTTTGTTATATATTTGATTCAAATATCATAACAATCAAGAATCAAGAGAGCTGACAGACAAAATAAATTAAATCCCAAAACCAAAACTATCATATCAGATAAACTATCATACCAATATTCTTTTAAAAATTGAATTTTTGAAATTTTAAATGGTTTATCAATTTAATTTCGAAATTATGTATTTATTTTGCACAATCTGAAATTCGAAATTTTAAATTCAATAAAAAGAAAACTCTATCAGATAAACTATCATACCAATATTCTTTTAAAAATTGAATTTTTGAAATTTTTAAATGGTTTATCAATTAAATTTTGAAATTATGTATTTATTTTGCACAATCTGAAATTCGAAATTTTAAATTCAATAAAAAGAAAACTCTTTTCACAGACATGCATTCACGATTTCTATTCATGGAGATCAATAGAAACAAAAACAAATTTCACAATTGTTGAAGACCTGATCGTCATTCAATTCACAATTTCGTTATGGTTATTTAAAAAAAAAATATACACAATAATGATATAACAAAGACATTATCTTTGTTACATAATGATTCAAATATCATAACAATCAAGAATCAAGAGAGCTGACAGACAAAATAAATTAGATAATCAGGTGTTTTAATTGCTTTTTATGTTGGAATTGGTCGTTTGATCTGAAATTCGAAATTTGAAATGATTTAAAATTTTGAATTTAAATATGGATGGTGGGAAAAGAATTTCTTTTAAAAATCGAATTTTAATTTTGTAATTGAATAATTAAATGACCGTTTGTGGTTGCAGACATAAAAGAATAATTAATTAATAAATATGGTTTTGAAATTCGAAATTTTAATTGGATAATCAAGTGTTTTAATTGCTTTTTATATTGGAATTGGTCGTCTGATCTGAAATTTGAAATTTGAAATGGTTTAAAATTTTGAATTTAAATATGGATGGTGGGAAAAGAAATTCTTTTAAAAATTGAATTTTAATCTTTAAATCGAATAATTAAATGACCATTTGTGGTGGCAGACAAGACATTGAATGTCCCACTGCCCATCACATTGGTATCCAAAAAGAAATCAGCTGTTTTAATTGCTTTTTATGTTGAAATTGGTAATCTGATCTAAAATTCGAAATTTGAAATGGTTTAAAATTTTGAATTTAAATATGGATGGTTGTAAAAGAATTTCTTTTAAAAATCAAATTTTAATTTTTAAATCGAATAATTAAATGACCATTTGTGGTGGCAGACATAAAAGAATAATTAATTAATAAATATGGTTTTGAAATTCGAAATTTTAATTGGATAATCAGGTGTTTTAAATGCTTTTTATGTTGGAATTGGTTGTCTGATCTGAAATTCGAAATTTGAAATGGTTTAAAATTTTTAATTTAAATATGGATGGTGGGAAAAGAATATCTTTTAAAAATCGAATTTTAATCTTTAAATCGAATAATTTAATGACCATTTGTGGTGGCAGTCAAGGCATTTAATGTCCCACTGCCCATCACATTGGTATCCAAAAAGAAAACAGCTGTTTTAATTGCTTTTTATGTTGGAATTGGTCATCTCATCTGAAATTCGAAATTTTAAATGGTTTATCAATTAAATTTCGAAATTATGTATTTATTTTGCACAATCTGAAATTCAAAATTTTAAATTCAATAAAAAGAAAACTCTTTTCACGGACATGCATTCACGATCTCTATTCATGGAGATCAATAGAAACAAAAACAAATTTCACAATTGTTGAAGACCTGATTGTCATTCAATTCACAATTTCGTTATGGTTATTTTTTAAATAATATATACACAATAATGATATAACAAAGACATTATCTTTGTTATATATTTGATTCAAATATCATAACAATCAAGAATCAAGAGAGCTGACAGACAAAATAAATTAGATAATCAGGTGTTTTAATTGCTTTTTATGTTGGAATTGGTCGTCTGATCTGAAATTCGAAATTTGAAATGGTTTAAAATTTTGAATTTAAATATGGATGGTGGGAAAAGAATTTCTTTTAAAAATCGAATTTTAATTTTTAAATTGAATAATTAAATGACCGTTTGTGGTGGCAAATATAAAAGAATAATTAATTAATAAATAGGATTTTGAAATTCGAAATTTTAATTGGATAATCAAGTGTTTTAATTGCTTTTTATGTTGGAATTGGTCGTCTGATCTGAAATTCAAAATTTGAAATGGTTTAAAATTTTGAATTTAAATATGGATGTCGGGAAAAGAAATTCTTTTAAAAAACGAATTTTAATCTTTAAATCGAATAATTAAATGACTATTTGTAGTGGCAGACAAGACATTAAATGTCCCACTGCCCATCACATTGGTATCCAAAAAGAAATCAGCTGATTTAATTGCATTTTATGTTGGAATGCGTCATCTGATCTAAAATTCGAAATTTGAAATGGTTAAAAAATTTGAATTTAAATATGGATGGTGGGAAAAAAATTTCTTTTAAAAATCGAATTTTAATTTTTTAAATCGAATAATTTAATGACCATTTGTGGTGGCAGACAAGGCATTGAATGTCCCACTGCCCATCACATTGGTATTCAAAAAGAAATCAACTGTTTTAATTGCTTTTTATGTTGGAATTGGTCATCTGATCTAAAATTCGAAATTTGAAATAGTTTAACATTTTGAATTTAAATATGGATGGTGGGAAAAGAATTTCTTTTAAAAATCCAATTTTAATTTGTAAATCGAATAATT